ACCATTCCAGGTCTGCCCAGCTTTGGCTGGTGGCTTCGTCTCTTTGTCTCTATGCCTGTCCCATAGCTCCTCAAGGGAGACTTTGTGCCTCAAGCTTTGGTGTTAAGATGAGACAAACGAAACCTGTAGTTGGATTGGTCCAGGCACTCTTTGGAGTATCTTATTGTTTGGGCACAGACCCCCAGAGAGAAACTAGGTGCCTCTCTCCCAGAGCAGCCAGATTGACACAAAACCCTCTGGTAATAAACTGGCCATTATGTAGCATGAGAAAATTTAATTAAAAGAAAAACAACAAATATTCCCCATGAGGTAACAGGAAAGGTAACATGGTTCATGTTGAACAATGAACATTCCCTCTCCCATTTATCATCAGCAGTGTGTTGATCAGCAGCCCGCCCCAAACATATGTCTGCCCCCCAAAAGATAGACCCACCTCCCAATCCCAGGAAGCTGTGAATGTGACCTTATTTGGGTAAAGGGTCTTTGCAGATCTAATTAAATTAAGGATCTTGAGATGAGATCATCCTGGCTTACCAGGGTGGGCCATAAATCCAGTGACAGGTCTCCTTATAAGAGACACTCAAAGGGGGATCCCTGGGTGGCACAGCGATTTGGCGCCTGCCTTTGGCCCAGGGCGCCATCCTGGAGACCCGGGATCGAATCCCACGTCGGGCTCCCGGTGCATGGGGCCTGCTTCTCCCTCTGCCTGTATCTCTGCCTCTCTCTCTCTCTCTCTCTCTGTGACTATCATAAATAAATAAAAAAAATTAAAAAAAAAAAAGACACTCAAAGGAGGGACAGGAAGAAGAGGGGAAGGTCACATGAGGACAGGGACAGAGGTTGGAGTGGTGCAGCCATAAGCCAAGGAGCACCTGCAGCCCCGAGAGCTGCAAGATGCCGAGAAAGGAAGCTGGGTTAGAGCCCCTGAAGGGGCACAGTCCTGCTGAAGCCATGACTTTGGACTTCTGCCCTCCAGAACCGTGAGACATCAGATTTCTGTTGTGTTAAACCACTAAATTGTGGTCCTTTGTTGTGGCAGCCCCAGGAGTCCACCACCCTAGATGGAAAGCCCATGATCTCGAGACTGCTGCTTGCTGGCTGCCCTTCTGGCAGGGTGGCTGTTCTGCTCTCTCATCCAATGACCAGGGCCCCATTCCCTACCCTTCCTATAGCTTGTGACTGGGGAAGCCTCCTGTGTGCTGTGGATCAACTGTGTCCAGGTCCCCTGCCTTTGCCCAGGTTCTGGAGTAGCCAATGGTGTCCATGGGTCTCCTTGGTCACTAGGACTATTTCAGTGTTTCACTGGTACACAGATCATGACCCACGTGGGTTCCAGCAAAAAGCAAGAGGAATTTATTCTGAGATGAATGGACCCCAAGGGCCAGAAGCGCAGTCAGGTCCTATGAAGAACGAAGAGCAGATACTGATAAGCGTTCAGAATGCAGGCGATCACTTGATAGCTCATCAAATTTTTTCTGTTCTTTTCATTTCTCTCTATACCAGCTTTCCTTGTCTTTGTGGGACAGCTCACAAAGGCCACCCTGCCTAACATCAATTCTAGCTTCCCGATTGGCCTCACCTCAGTCAGCAGAGCTGCGGGGAGTGGGCACCTCTCATTCCAGTTCCCAATTCTTGGGAGACAGAAGCTAATTGAGAGAGACCCCCAGCTAAGGCCAAATGGGCAGATTCAGGTAGTCCAAGAGAAGTGGAGAAGGTGGCCCACTGGTGCAGTGTGGAGGGGTTCACAGAGAAGGGTCCCTGGTTTGTCCAAAGTAACGGAGTGCTGAGGGCCAGGTCTCTGGCCAGAAGTGCAGCCCTTGCAAGGGTCTCTTCATCTTCAACCTCCACACACATGGAAGGCTGAGCGTGTGCATGTGCTCTTCATTTGCTCTCTCTCTCATAGTGGCCCTTGCCCACCTTCTTTCAAGGGGCCCATACATAACATATACTTGTTGAGAATGCCAGCCCTGTGTGCTCCCAACACCCCCACACTAGGCTGATCCTCTTTTAGGAAGAGCCTCCACTGCACATCGGCTAACTGTCCCTTGCCTACTCCATCTCCCATCCTCTGTCTTTGTCCCAGCAGATGTAGAGAGGTACTGATGGGAAGAACACCAAATCCCCAAGCCCACTGTACCCTTCGTCACCCCGGGGGTGGGGATTTCACCTCAGGATGATTACTGACTACCCATGCTGGAGACTCACCTTCACACCCCTTCCATGTGCACACGAAGGAGGTGAGAACTCAGGCGATGCCTGACCAGAGGTCACCAACACCAACTACCCGTGCTGGAGACTCACCTTCACACCCCTTCCATGTGCACACGAAGGAGGTGAGAACTCAGGCGATGATGACCAGAGGTCACCAACGTGGACATTCTCTGATAAGGACCCTGCAGAAAAAAGTGTTCTGTTTTTGTGTGTGGGTGTATGTGTGTAGCTAAACTGGCAGCACAAAGATTAATATCCAATTTCCGAAGAGGTGAGAGAAGGAAAAACAGTAAACGGGGAAATGGGAAATGCTGTGCCCCCGGCAGCCCAGGTGGGATTTCTGAGTTCCACCCTCTGCCATCGCCTGCTTCATGGTCTGCTGCCCCCACATAATGGAATTTGAAAGTGCCTCCCAAGCAAAGGGCAGAGCACCCTGTTAGGTTTGAAAATGAATAATGATGAACCCTAGGCTCAGTCCTGGTTGGATAAGGATAAATAAAATTAAAATTCGGAAATTTGTTTTAAATGGGTTGTTAATTGCTGTTGAGCTTTAAATATTTGAGTTTATTAATTTCTCCCTCACCCCCTGAATTATATTTCAGCAACATTCCCCTGTTATTAGGCTATTAAGTCAGACATATCAAAAAGGAAGCATTTATTTATATCTTCAGAGACATGTACATCTAATTAAGACCGTGTTACTGTGCATATTTTATATCAGGCAAATGCTGTCTGTGATCTCAGCCTCATCAGCTCTGAAGGGCCTTCATGAGTGTTTGGAAGATATGACTTGAGCAGGATAAGGAAGACATCCTGTAAGATTTCCTATGAAACTTCACCTTGAAAGAAGTGGCTGCTCCTAGACATTGGAAAGACCCTTCTCAAAGTTAAAGAATCCAACATGGTAACCTCCAGAAAACAAGAGATCTGAACATTGGCCACACTGCCAGAGTGTTTCTGTGTTAATAAAAGTAGTGAAACTGGCTAACATCTAGAGAGAAGCTCTTGAATGCCACAAATTCTTAATGAATGCTCAATACTTCACTTAAGGCTCACAACAGCTCAAGGACAGAGAGAATATCTTTATCCCCATTTTACAGATGAGCAAAACAGAAGCTTAAGAAGATGAATTGATTTGCCTAAGAGGTGGAGGCAGGACTAAAAACTAAGGCTTGCCTGACTGGAGCTCAGGCTTTTTCCATTGGGTTTCTTTTCAGAGTCAAGAAGAGTTCATTCATTCTAGAACTTTCTCGGCCAAGGTGCTATCATCCCTACCCCCCTACAAGGGGAGGAAAATTGATTCTCGCGGAGCAAAAATCACATTATTTTTATGTTTAAAGCACAGATAAACATATAGTGAGTTAATTGATAAACAGCATTTCTGTGATACTAAAACTTAGGAAGAAATGTCTGAAGAGGCATCTTAGGGAGATGTCAGTGAAGAAGGTTCAGAAATAATGTTTCATAGCGATTGCAGAAATGCTCCCTGCCAATTGCTCACCTGTCTTCTGTACAATGTTAGAATCACTGTCGGCCTTCCTGTTGCTACTGCAGTTTTATTTTTACAGGTAAACTGGACGTGAACGAGCACTGTGGACTCCCCATAATGGTAGGGCCCAAGCGCCAGTGCTGGATGGCGAATGCCTTTCGGCTGTCCCAGTTTCTTATCTGATGAACTTCCATCAACAAACAATGGATTCCATTTCCAAAGGACATTCAAGTTCTCCATGTGAAGACATTCCAAATTGAGGGATGGTCATTTCACACTTTGGGGACTTTAGCCCAAGATTCCTGAATCTTTCTTTCTTTCTTTTCTTTCTGTAATATTGTACAAGAAGCTGGTAGACAAGGTCTGGGTTTGGGTTATATAAGAAAAACTCAGGTTTGAATCATGGATTTTACCCCTTCCAGGTCAACGAGTCGTTGGATGAGATTATCAGTCTCAAAGCATCCCTGTTTTCTCACTGGTAAGCCTACATTCTGACTGTGTGGTGAGCATTTTACCCATATTTTACCTGACACTCATACTGTCCACCATGGAGGCCACTAGTCACATGTGGCAATTTCAAATGAAATTTATTAAAATGAAATAAAATTTAGTGTTTTGTCTTCACCCACCAGCCACATTTCAAGTACTCAATGCATGTGGTTACCAGTCAGACAATATAGATGAGGAACATCTCTATCACGGCAGAAAATTCTACTGGACGGTGCTGCTCTAGAGATTCTAGAGACACTAATGCCAAGAAGGCAGGAACCTTGCCAGTGAAGGGTGGTTGCTTTTCATTTAACAGATTTGTAGTGATGACCGCTTTGTGCAGGCTTCACTCTCAGCACAAGATCTGTAATCAAACCAAAGTTCCTACACTTGAGGAGGCAATGATTACTATCCTTGTTACTGCAGGTTTTTATGATCTCCTGGTGAGTGGGCAGGAGGGTAGTGTTGAAAAATATTAGGAAGGAGTCAGAGCACATGACTTTGAGCAGAGTGATATGAGTAAATTTACTCAGTCTCCCTGAAGCTGACTTTCCTCATCTCTAAAATGGGTATGGTAATAATTTCACAGACTTGTTCTAAAGATTAAATAAAGGGATGGATGTAGAAGGTTTAACACAATGTCTGGCACAGTAGGTGCTCAATAAATTACTGCTTTCCTTGATAAGATAAAACAATCTGGTCTGATTTGTTGTACTAGTTTATTCATATAATACGGTATTCCCTCTGCTGTATGGGGTTTATCGGTTTATTGTTAAGGATCTAGTTCAGGATGGTCCTACAAGCTACCTACCAAAATAATGCTTCAGATGCCATTGGAATCCATTCTTCAATTCACATTTGACAATCAATTGGTCACGTAATAATCTTAACAGCATTCTTGTTGGTCTTGGTTGCTGTAATTACAGAATGTAACCTTGAAGAGGTTAGAGAAAACATAATTGCATTCGTGAGCCATAAAGGTAAGGAAAGTGCATGGCGGGGAAGTGATGTGCCCAAGGTCCCAGCTCTGCAGAGGCAAGCAGACTAGAAGGTGGGTCTCCAGTCATCAAATACAATGTGCTTAGCATTTTAGCAAATGACCTTTGATCTGCCACTCTGGCAGCTGCTCCATCTCCCCAAAGAAAGTTACTGTCAACAGCTGCCCATCCCTCAGAATAAGTCTCCTCCTCTTGGGACAGCGAAGTGGGTGTTCACTCACACTAACACAGCATTTGGTGACAGTCGCCTTGACCCCGGAGCAGCCCCAGTGCTGGGGGCTGAGGGAGAATTTCCTTCCCTCGTTTTTAGGCCCTGCTTTGTGCATTTTGTTATTTCCCCATCACCTAAGGGGTCTCTCTCCAAAACGTCAAGCCTGGGAGGTGGGAGGGGAGGCACCCTCTCTTCTTTGATGTTTAGGCATTGAGTGCTAGGGCTCACCTACAAAGAGAGGTGCCAGAGTTACTCCTTTTGTCGGATCCCTGCATGAAAAAGAATCTTGGGCTTCCACCCATCTTAAGTGACACATTCACATTTTGATAGAATTAATGTTTAATAGCCATATATTTGATTTTTCTGTTAGAAATGTTTTTTAAAGAATTAAAAGTTTAGTGGCTGACTAATAGGCACCAATATGGTTTTGCCATTGTATAAGACAAGTGTACAGTTACAGATGAATGGCGTTGTAGAAGGGATCAGATTGCACTTGGGTTTTGAAAAGTTTTATTTATTTTTTTTTTTGAGGAGTATGGTTAGTCTTTATGATATAATTGACTGACTATGTGACAGAAAGCCTGGCCTTGCAATTTGATGCTGATTTAGATCATCATAAAGCGCTCCTATTTCCTTTGGAATCTTACGGCACTGGGCATGCACAAAAATGTCCCAACAGGAAGAGGAGGGAAGAGCAGGAAGTGTATGGATACTTAGATAAGTATGGAAACTGTCACAAAATAGCGTGCAGTCCTATCCCCTCCACACCCATGGAGCAAGTGAGCAATCACAAACTCGTTTGTACGTACGGTGTTGATTGCCTCGCTGCCTTCGCACCTTTTGCGGCTAGGGCATTTCTCTAGACAGGCTGGGAACCCTGGATGTTCTATAGGGCTATGAAAAAATGGGGACTGATTTCAGTTTGGGTAAAGGTAACATGACTAAACCTGAAAATTGCCTCTGTGTGTATCATGGCTCGTTCGGGGATTAAAATAACAAAAGAATAGAATTTCTTGCCCATGGGTGAAGAACTTTAAGTCAGAGTTTGCTTGGAGGATCCCTGGGGGCAGGTGGAATGATCCAGTAGATGAGCATGCATGCATCTGCCTACTGCATGTGCAGGGGCCTGGCACCCTCCTGGACCTGGCCAGCCTGTGAGCAGGAGCGCTTCATTGACCTTTGACAGTGTGATCTGCTGCACGTCTTTCCTCTCTCCGTTCTTGGCTTGTTCCGTGGCTCAGCACCGCTCATTTTGGCTCCAGAACTCAGCGCTCAGTTTTCTGATAGTTACTTTAATTTATGACAGGGTTTGGACACACTCGTTGGCCATGACCTTGGCCCTCAGCCCAGAATATTATTTTCAGCATTTATCCTCTAGCTCTCTCATTGCAACCACGGGCAGGAGACGCTCTATCCTATCACGGCCCCACGGCTCAGGCGCAGGAGGGCAAGGGCCAGGGCAAACCTACTGCAGTTTCCACCCCAGCTCCCAATCAGGTACAAGGTCCACATGGGAGTGGGGCAGAGTGATGGAGGGGGCCACCTTCCCTGCCGTGTGTCCTACTTTTACAATTACGTACCAAATACCTTTCTTCTGGCGGTACTGGAGGTCTCCACACTCATCCTGCAAAGAAACTTGGCATTCACTAAGGTTTTACATTTGGGGAGACAAAACATGCACACCTAGCACCTTGAGAAGATGCAGGATGCTACCTCACCGAGAAGTGCCAACAGATATGCTCGGATCACATACCCACCCATATGAAGAAGCACTCCAAAAGACGGAGGGACAACAGAATAAGATCTCTCCCAGAGCATTACATTCAGCCTGGTCCTGAAGAATATGACAGACATATCCCACGGATGGGCAGTCAAAAATAAGTGGCATATATTCCAAGTAGACAGGACCTACGTGAGCCACACAGAGAAGCTGGATCTAGCTGACGCACTGAAGTAACAGAAGAACGGGGTGTAAGTCCCCACCGCAGGGCTACAGATAACTACATAGGATGGGCACAGACATTGCACAACACAACAGGTCCGACAGCTGACAAGAATCACCAGAGGGGAATTGTTCAGGAATGGAGAAGCTCTCCAAATTGACCTAGAAGGAAAAAGGAGGACTTTGAAACTCCTGTAGGACCAGAGTTTGTATTTGTGTTGTTGCTCTACTGTTGTTTATTCAGGTGATACTCTAAAACACAGTCAACTCTGTACACCATGAATAATGGATTTCGTAATTTACATTTTTCTAATTGAAAAAATTTCAGGAATAGCCCCAAGTAAATCGCATGCATGATTTAACAGGAGATGAATACAATTTTAACTAGGAAAAAACTCCGAAGTGGTGCTGTTTCCTAGCAAAATAGCATCAGAGAATGGTTCTAATCCTTGGCTCTGTACTTTTATGAGATTATCAATGGAGATAATCGATACTTTAGATAGTCTGTTTAGTTTCCAGACAAAATGCAGCGAGAGAACTAGAATCAGTTAGTCTACCTCTTAGTGTTTTAGCACTTTAAACTTCGTTTTTTTTCCTTTAAATATTTTATTTATTTATTCATGAGAGACACAGGGAGAGAGGCAAAGACACAGCAGAGGGAGAAGCAGGTTCCCTGAAGGGAGCCCGATGCAGGACTCGATCCCAGGACCCCTGGATCACAACTTGAGTCGAAGGCAGATGCTCAACCACTGAGCTACCTAGGTGCCCCTGAAGGCATCTTTAAATTGATTCTGTAATTTGCTCCTCACGCCAGCTACAGAAGACTGGAGATGGTTTTGTTTGTCACCTGACAGCTTCACCCATGAGCCCAAGGTCACCTTCACCAGAGAATGGCAGAAAGGTCATTGCTCCGCCAACCTTCTGTGCTTTGGGAGCACCTACCACTTTGACTGCTTGGGACACTTCCTCCTTTCTGGGAGGATCACCTCCTTTCTTAGGGAAAGCTGCTTCTTTCTCACTCCAACCACAGGCTCCTGGTGACACGCTCCCAGCCAGGGCACCCGACCTGAATTGAGGTGACCCTCAGAGTCTTTTTCAGGGACTTTTCAACTGTGATCAGGCTTGGGATGAAGAGGTGGGCAATTTAGTTTTAATTTTCCTTCTTGTGGCAAAAGTGTGAGATGTGTGGAGCACGGTAGGGGGCAGGAGATGCTGGTGGCTCTGTGTCCCAGCCACATGTAGGAAGTTTAAGAAAATTAAGAACAGGGACACCTGGGAGGCTTAGTTGGTTGGGCATCTGCCTTTGGCTCAGGTCATGGTCCCAGGGTCCTGGGATCAAGGCCCCATATTGGGATCCCTGCTTAGCAGGGAGACTGCTTCTCCCTCTCCCTCTGCCTCCCTCTCCTTCTGCCTCCTGTTCCCACTGTTTGTGCTCTCTCTCTCTGTCAAATAAATAAATAAAATCTTTAAAAAAAGAAAGAAAGAAAGAAAATTAAGAACAGTATGCAGTGAGGGATGCCTGGGTGGCTCAGTGGTTGAGCGTCTACCTTTGGCTCAGGGTGTGATCCAAGTCCCAGGATCAAATCCCACATCGGGCTCCCTGCATGGAGCCTGCTTCTACCTCTGCCTGTGTCTCTGCTTCTCTCTCTGCATCTCTCATGAATACATAAATAAAATATTTTAAAAAAGAGAGAGAACAGTATGCAGTGAGAAAAGAGAAAGTCTTCCTAGAGTCCAAATTTCTGGTTCCACTGTGATCCGTGTCACTTCTATGCCCCACAACCCTTTTATAATCTACTCTTGTATAAGAAGAAATAAGGCTCAATGAAGTTAAGTAAGTTGCCCCAGATCCCATGTTGAGTTATTGTTACAACTATGTCATCCACCGGTAGTGTCATTAGGCCCCTATGGGGCCTAATTTATTGTAATCAATATTTATTGATTTCTTATTTATTGATTTGCTACAATCAATATTTATTATTTTATTTATTGTAATCAATAAAGTTTCACATATACTATCTACTTTGATTTCTATGACAAGCCCTTGAAACAGATTGGGAAGGCACTGTGAACCCCAACTGTTGATGAGATGGTAGGTGACGTCCCTGCTCTCAAATAATCAGGGAGTGATGGGACGGGGGGCTTGAACCCATGTCTTCTTAAATAACACTGAACGCTCCTTCTAACCACACCTCACCATACGTCCGAACATACATACAACACACATAGACGTGCCTGAATGGAAAGGTCCATTTCAATGAAAGATGAAAATCAAATATGGTGAAATAACTGTCCTTAGAATTATTTGTAAAAAGTGCTTGAAGATATCGCTGCCCATAATTATTTGCACTTTTATTTTGTGTGAAAACATTGGTTTAGGATCCACTGCTCTCTTCTGTAGATCTAACTGGGATAAAATATTTTCCATTATCTTGAGACTTGATAAAATATAAATAGCTTGTACTTTGTCTCTCTTGGTTTTGATACCTAATGAAATGTGAAAAAGCAAGATGACACATAAAAGAAAAGCAAAAGATAACTAATTTAGAGATTAACTTTGGAAAAGCTCCAAAATTAGATCATGTAATTAGTTCACAGTTTAGAAGCCTTTGGTGGAATTAGATTTATGCAAACAAATTCCATTCACATAGTTTAGGAAGACTGAATGGTTTTATAGATGAATCACGCTGAAAATTGAGGCTTACATAAGCCCTATTCCTCATTTTCTCTTATATCAATGGGTTTTAACAATCAAGAAAATCC